TGTACTTTTATGATCTTTTTTTCTTTCTTTTTTCATTTGTAAATAAAGGATGATAAATAAGTTTAATTAAACAGACTAAACAGACCAAATGGCAATGGATTCAAATGAAGGGAAGATGAGCTTCACAAGTATTAGATCGACATGGTAGTTTTCTTTTCACTGCTGCCAAAATCATGATAGCTGCTTCCCTAGGTGAAAGTGCAAGCATATCCTCTTAGCTTGTATTTTTCAATGACTTTTTAAAATCAAAGCCCACACAGGCAGAAAGGTTGATTTAAAAGTGACTGAACTGCTGGGCTTAGAGGGTTGTGATCAGCAACACAGAGGCCAGCTGGAGCCTAGTTACTATTTGGAGTACCCTAAGAGTGCTGGGCTAATACTGTTTAACCTCTCCATTAATGATCTGAAGGTTATGCGATGGTGTGCTCTCTCAGCAAGTTTGCAGATACCAAATTAGGAGGAGTGTTTCAAACACCAGGTTCTTGTGCTGCAATACTTTTGCAGGTTGGTGAAGTGGACAGAGAGGAACCTCATGAAGTTCAACAAAGGGAAATGCAAAGCCTTGTACGTGGGGAAGAATAATGCATGCACCAGTAGAGAGTGGATAGAGGCTTCCTGGCTATAAAGCAGCTCTGCAGAGAAGGATCTTGGGTCCTGGCATACAAACTGAGCACAAGCCAGCACTGTGCTCTCACAGCAAGAAGGCCAACAGCATCCTGGGCTCCATAGATTCATGTGGTCAGCAGGTCAATAGAGATGATTCTTCCCTTCTACTCAGCACTGGTGAGGCTGCATCTGAAGCACCATGTAAAGTTCTGGGCTCACTAGTATAGGAAAGACATAGGCATCCTGGAGCAAGTCCAGTGAAGGGCCCCCATGACAATCAAAGGACTGGAGCATCTGACATACAAGGAAAGGCTGAGAGAACGTGGATTGCATAGCCTGGAGAGGAGAAAGCTCATGGGGGGGTATCAGTAATGTCTGCATATATCTGATGGGAAAGAACGAAAAAGATGGAGCCAGAATCTTCCCAGAGAGTCTCACTGAGAGTCAGTCTTGCCCAGTGGCAAGATGAGGTGAGAGCACAAACTGAAATGCAGTAAATTCTGTTTAAACATGAGGAACATCATTTTTTACTTTGAGGGTGGTCAGACACTGAAACAGGCTCCCCATAGAGCTTGTGGAATCTGTGTCTTTGGGGATATTCAAAACCTGACTGGATACAGTCCTGAGCAGCCTGCTTTAGCTGTCCCTGCTTTGAGCTAGAGTTAGAATAGATAATCTCTAGAATCCCCTGCCAAGCTCCCCCGTTCTGTCATTTCCTCCATCCATGAAAGAAAAATTATCTTTCCCTTTTATGAGTCAGAGACACACCATTGAGATTTTTAAGGCAAAATATGACTACTCTATCGCACCTGGCAAACTTGCACTGTTCTTCCATCACTTGATTTCTTTTGAGCCCACAAAGTCTTGTCTTTCATTAACCCATTCTTTCTTTCCCTCTGGTGTGTTGCTACTGTTCACCTACACACTCTGTTCTTACCATTTTAGTTCCTTGTTAAGTCCTTGGAAGAATATTCCAGCAAAACCCTCAGGTCTGTCTCCATCACTACCGTTTAAAACAGCTTCCCTGCCTTGACTTTCATCTAAGAGTTCGCCAGTCTCCTTGTAATGTGCCCTTCACCCTTAACTCCAACATTGAATTTGCATGGCAGAAAACCTCAGATCCATGTTCTAGACTAGGAACTTGCTGTAGTTGTAATTTGAGTAGGGAATAAGTCAAAAGATAACGGAGTAATGGTGAGATTAGTATTAAAGTTGTTTTGCTTCCTCTTCACTGTTCTTCCCCTTAGGTGTTATGTAGCCTTTGAACTACATCATGAGTGAATCATCATTATTGCTTTAGAAATCTCACAATGCTCTATGCCAATTTAGTATTAGCCAGTTAATCTCTATAATGCTATCTTCTGAAACTGTAAGAAAAACATAAAAGCTAAGGCAAAAAATTGTAGCTGCCTATTTATTATCATGATGACTGATGCAGTGGAAACCAAGATGTCTTTATGCTTTCATTCAAAAAATAACTTCTCCCAGCAAATGAAACACTAAAATTGGCAATGCTGACTTAATCTCTCAAATCTGGCATACAGGTCTGTACTTCCAGTAAGCCTGGTGCTGACCAGCAGATTCTGCTTTTATTTTAAAACTAGATTCATTTTAATTATGTTCCCCCTAGTTTTTCTCTTAATTAATCAGAAATATCGGAACAGTTAATTAAAAGGAAGAGTTAATTAAAAATACAAACCTTATTTGATTCTGTATCAAACCTGGCATTATGATCTTTTTATCTACAAGGCAAGAATTCTGTGGGATCAGAAGTCTGAATTATTCATGATAGTTTCCAGCCATTTTTTCCATCCTCCTTTATTCAGTATAAAATCTTATAAGCTTTTCTTTCAGTCAAGGTGAAAGCAATATTAAGTCTTGGAAAAGAAATGTACCAAAGACATGTAGCTCTGTGAAATCCTTGTCCTGTAATCCTGGCTTTCTATTCACCATCACTATTCAATATCTCATTTTCTATATAAGCTTCATGATATATCAGCAGTTGATGAGATTTATTTATTATACTCCTGTTTTCCTTCTTCATAAAAAAGCTTTATCCATCCCTTCACTTCTGTAGGAGTAGCACTGATGCCTGTGATTTTGTCTGCTGAGCTCACTAATTCAGCTCTCCATTCAAGATACTGGACAGTTGGTAGAGGGTGGATAGTGAGGGAGGAGGAAGACCGTACTTGTTAAAATTTAAGACAGCATGTGTAGTGAATTTTAATAACGTTGTTAAGATCCAGTTAAATACTTATGAACTAACATGGTTGATTTTGTGAGTAGAGACACTGGCAGGTCACTTCTGAAAGATGCTTTATGAATTAAAGCTTGACCGTAGTATGTTGGACCTCTATATGGGACTAAACAGAATTATTTCTGGTCATTCTGGAGACATGACAACAGATGCAATGGAAGTTGAGTCTGATCTATACTAATGAGTCCTATATTTCCTGTTCGCAGTATTGCTCGTGATGACTGTAGCAGCTCCATATATGTTTTTCTTACAGTCTCTGCCTTCATCTGTCATGGTATTTTTCTGTTAAACAAACACGTTTCTAAAGAGAAATGCAAAAACTTTCGTGTTTGTTATCAAGGTTAAAAGGACAAAGTATTGTTTTGAAATTCTTTGTCTCTAACCTTTTAAAAGTAAACCACTGCCTTTAAGGTGAAATTAAAATGTACGGAGAATTCAGTATGCAAATAGCATGTGCACCAGATGATCTGAAGGAAGCCTTCACGTTTCCATAGAAAACAAATGTGAGTGTAGGAAAGCAGATGCTTTCTACCAACAGAGTGTACATACAGTTCTCAAGAGGACCTGAACAGCAATTTCTTTTCAGACTGCTGGAAGTATGCAAATTTCTGCAGAATTAAATGTGACTTTAAAAGAAATGGCATCTGTTAAGGACAAGACAACCCAAAGAGGCAGTTGGGAACTTAATAATATAGTCAAGAACTTTAACAGGTTCAGCAGTATATATAAAGTCAATGACTCAAATGTCACTTGTTTTTAGCAAAGACGTAAGTGGTCATGTTGGAAAGATGTCTTTTAGAGTATGGCATTTGGAGTGTTTATCTGTGACCGTGAAGAAGGACATTAGTATGGTGTGTGGGTTTTTTTCAGATGACTCTCCATCAGAAAGCATCATCTGTTCAACTGAGCTCCTTATAGGATATAGTCAGTGATGCACTTGTGATGTATCACTAGCATTATGTTTGCTATTTTTGACTTCTGTTAGTTTAACCCAGCAAGTCTAAGTCAGTTTGATTCTGTCCTGACACATACGTAATCACCACGATTATTAATTAAATTCTTACTGCTGGATATTTTTTGTGCTGATGGCTGTGGGACTGGATGAATGTCACTGAGATTATAATCTGAAGGCAAAGGAATAATGCTAAATGCAGTGGAAACATCTTGCACAAGAGATATTGCTGGTGAGCCAGCAGCCAGCTGCGTAGGCATGGGAAGTGTGTTTTTTCCTCCTTTCTGATAAAGCACAGCATTACTGGAGTGGGGACGAGCACACAGGATGGCAGAATTCAGGTTTGCCAGGTGGTGCTGCCTCCACTCTTCGCTGTTCCCCTTACAGAATCTAGCTGTTCAGTTCATCCTGGTGCTTTGTTGTGTCTTAAAGATTCCATTTAACCACTCCATTTGTACAGAAGTGCCCAAGTGAGGTCAGGGAGGGCAGGAGATGTTGATTTTCTAGAATGTGCAACATCACATTTAGTAAAAATTTTGACAAAACATGTAAGGTCAGATATGTCCGTGTAGATGCTCTGGAAGCAACTAATTTTCAGGCCTTTTGAAAGCTGTCAAAAGGCAATAAAGGTCACTGCTTATAATTTTAGGAATTTAACTTCAAGCGTTCATGCATGACAAGGCTTGGCCAGGGTTCTCATGGCAGGAAACCCCCTGTATGACCAGGAGCCTACGGAGCCCCACAGTGCTGGTGCACTTTCGTAAACATAGTGAGTGTCTGGGCTGTCACCTGCATCTCCTCTCACACACTCCACAAACAAGGAGCAAGGTAAACAGGAGTTTACTGAGTGGGTAGATATAGTGTTGTCTCATTTCAGAGCAGAAATACTTGAACTGGTAACTAAAACTGACCTACTCAGCAGGGGAGACGCTGAGATTGCAAGGGTGAGTTTGCCAGGTAAGGTCATGTCCACAAGTGGAGTCTTCTCAGCATTGTGGGTTAATTTTCTTTATGCTCTGCCCTTGTGTTTTAAAAATATCATGTCTGTAAAGCCACAGATCTGTTACACTCGTGCAGCCCGTGGACTGGGTGTAAAGAATTACCAAAATACTTATTCTCTGGTTTTCACTGTTCAAGAGTCCTCTTATTACGACTGAATAATTTGTGATTTTTTTCTTCACCCAGGTTGTAATCCTCGGCAAACATTCTAGAGGCTATCACTACATGTTAGCTAACCTGGTAAGAACTTTTCTTCATTGCAAGTATAGCTAAATTTTAAAGGGTAATGTATCCTGTTCAGGTTGTGGCAACTTCAATCAGCAAACGAGGAAGTGCATGGGTGAGTTCTAGGTTTTTGAGAAATTACTTCAGTCAATACTAGAACTGGTAGGTTATAGTAATTTGCACTCTATTATGGTCTTTCTTTTCTCTAAGAATCTCATATCATCTACTGATTTTAAAATAATAATTTAATTACATGTTTTCCACTGATTTGTATCCTTATAACCAACACTTGATAAATCAAATCATCTATGTAACATATTTGAAATTTAAGCACTCCACAAAAAATAACTGTAGCATATTTGTGTATAAAATAAGTGATTAAAAGCTGCAAATTAGAACAATTCCGTCAAGTAAACCAGCCAGGCTGTTTAGCTGTTCTTTTGTATTGCAGAGTGTAGGGTTGTGTCTGTGCATGTGTTGACCTACCAGCACAAGACAGTACATTTTTATCTGTATTAGAGCTTCTTCTGGATTCTGGAATTGACTTTCAGGGGTGTTTATGATGCCTTTGAAACACCATCTGCTAGAGTTCCTCAGAAAAAGTGTTATATTGTAATTGATCCCGCAGCAGATCTAATTCTTGGGTTCTGTGTATACTGTGAATGGAAAAATGTTTCTTCAAAATTCCTACTTTAAAGTTAGCAATCCCACTTTGTACAAGTTTCTTTGCATCCATGTTTTGGTGTGATTAAAGCAGAAAAGGCAATTTTTAAAATAGCCTTATTTAGCATAAGCACTGTATGACTTTAAGATGTATCATTTTGCATTATAAGAACCAGTCATGATCTCACTGATGAGCATGTGCATAGAAATACAGGGGTTCTTATTCTAGGTTGCCTTTTAGCATGTGTAACCATTGACATTCAGATAAACATGACTGCAATCAAGTCATACTAATCAAAAAGATGCCAATTTACTGCTTCAGGTATAAATAACAACAGAGTGGGAGAGAATCATCCCGTTATGTTTGCAAGTGAAATGCTAAGTAATGCTGTGATGGAGAACTGCCTCACAAGAGGCCTGCGCTTTGCCTCCACAGAGCAATATGGGTGTTGAGTGGTTTTCTGCTCCAAGCACTGAATCTTCATGTGCACTTTGCTGTACAGAAGGAATTGAGGTCTTGGACCAGTTTTCACTATGATGAGGAGAAAAGAGGAAATAACACTTCAAGTTTCTCCACTTTTTTCTTTCTGACCGGTGGATATTACTTACAACATTGCCACAACACAATGGGCAGTTTTCTATCACAAAGGTCTGAACAAGATGGCATTTTAAATTCTATTCTATGCCACTGTCTTGATCTCAATTGTGATAACAATTGTCTCCTTGGTAGAATATTTTCAGCTAACAAGAGGGAAATTAATGTTTCTTTTGTCCTAGCAGGTAAAACTGGGCCTAGGAAAAGGGAATTGGGATGGCAGTGATTCTTGTTTTCTCCATGTGTCCTCCCAGGGTTTCACAGACATTGTTCTGGAGAGAGTAATGCATGGAGGTGCCAACGTTACTGGATTCCAGATTGTTAATAATGAAAACCCGATAGTTCAACAGTTTCTACAGCGCTGGGTGAGGCTCGATGAAAGGGAATTCCCTGAAGCCAAAAACTCACCGTTAAAGGTATTTCTTTTACCCTGCGAGTGATGATGACTATACGAGTTGCTTTAACAATTATTTGGAGTTTTTTAACCCCAGATATGTGCATGTGTATGGTACAGACACCTCATTAGAATATGTTGCAACATTCATTGTACTTCCAGAAGTACAGCAGAGGCTGTTAGTTGGACACAAGTGCCCAGCGTGGTGGAAGTTCCTCAGGGGCAAAGGCTTTCAAATCCTGTTGTGTAGTGGATGTAAAACGTTTTAACTTCTTAAGTTAGTCTTGGGGGGCAGGGGCTAGTTAGATTAGTTTCTGGATGCAAACTGTGGCTTACTAGTTCATTTTAATGCTAACAGAGAAATTCATGTGCAAAATGAAGTAGCTTTGGATTCACTGAGAAGCCACTGCTACCTCCTAGGCACTGCTGACAGTTGCCCTCATGATCTAACCCCTTATTTTTCAGCACTGTCCCTTACTTAAACTCTCTGGATGTTCTATCTGTAACCAATAAAATTGTCCTGATTTTTTTGATGAAAGTCACAGGTTCACCAGAATTGTCACAGTTTTGTTATTGGAGGCTTGCAGACTGTTAATATCTCTCCCAAGTATTTTTCCGCCTCAGCATCTTTGTAGTAGAGGGGGACACTATTCACTGTCAAATCAAGGCATGCATCAAGGGTACTCTGTCCAGTGAAGGAAGTCATTAAATCTTCTAGGGCCACTGCACATTATTAATATTTCTGTTACATTCCTTCTCCTCTTTTGGTGAGGCTTGTTCTTTTTCATCAATATGCATAGGTGAATAGAACCTGGGACTGGTGGTGGATGAGAGGACCTTAATTCTGTCACTCCTAGGAGTCCAGTTCTCCCCATCATATATACTGACTGTCTCAGGGAAGCCAAACCTATCAAAGAACCACAGCCATGATGAGACGGTTCATGTCTTTCCTTCTTAATCTGGGAGGGACTCGGGCAAATTGATGAATGGATTTGCAATTCAAAATTACTCTGTTAAACTGGAGTAATGTCTTGATATTAGTGATACAAGGTTCAGGGAAGCATGAAATACTAGCTAGGAAGGAAAAATCTAGTCCAGTCTGATGCATGGGGGGATACCAGGGGTAGGTGGTAGCACTGTGTTGGACTGCAGACAGAATAGGACCCGGTTATGAGGTTCTGCTGCCAGAGGCCGATGCCATTCAGAGGCATGCTTTTCCATTCCCTGAGAGCAAGTGATTTCTGTGGGGAAGGAAAATTATCTTAATCCCACACCATCCCACAGCCTTGCTGGCATTTCAGAGGAAGCAGAGAAAGGCAAACAGAGGCCCACAATACTCGGATTAGTGTATTGTTCCCTGTTGATTAGGACTTAAGCCTGTTTTCGAAAGCTTCCTAGCAGTGATGCAGAAGTGAAGATAAGTATCATACTAATCTTAAAAGCTCTGAAATATATAAAGTTAACCTGGGAAGATTTTATTCCACTTAAAAGCAATTTACCTTGAGGGAAAAATTATTCTCCATCCTTAAAAAAGAATCTTAAGTAAATGGTACAAACACAAAGATTACATTACCTTTCCACAAATGTACCACTCATTACAGAAACGTGCGCAGTATTTGTCAATCAGACAAAAAGCATATTTAAAAATTGATGTACAATATTTTTGATTAGGAAATAAAATTGCCTAGAGATTAAAGCCCTGATGTTTAATTTATTCTGTATTTTATCAGCCTTTCCCTTCTCTCTCTCTTTCTTCTCTTTGCATGCTCATGCATTTATAAGTAGAATTCAAATAAAGTACAAAATTAGATAGCTCTCTTGGCATGACTTGGAAGGGACTGCATTAAGGTTACTGACAATTGACGCAGTCTACTGAAAAAATTATCAGCGTGTAAGTTTTATGTAGTGCTAGATTGGACAGCTATTACAAGATTTTTCTAATACAAGAGCAAATACCTTAAAATTACAGTCTGGTTCTATATTGTGTGGAATGTGACATGTAACCTTTGTTAACTTACTAAAAGAGGAGAGGATGATCATTGCAAAGCGTCACAGAAAGAGGTAAAGATGGGTGGGATCAAAAGAGCGCCTGTACTTAGGTACAGTCAGAGCAGGGTGATACAGTCAGAGCAGGATCCACTCTCAGTAACTGCTGTCATTAAAAGTCTGTAAGAATGACTGCTGTAAAACCTTCTTCACAGTCCTGCCTTTGCACTCTTTTTTTATCAGATGTGATTCTCTTGATCTGCACATGCAGACACACTTCATTCTGTGCAGATCTCTTAAGGCAAGGCTTTGCAGTAAGATAATACACATTTTTAAGAAATACAGAACACCAATTGTGCTGTCCTGCACTACAGGATAGCATTAACTTCTGCTGAATTTAGTAAGTCTTATCCACAAAGAGAATAGCTGAACATGCAGTGGAAACTTGGATTTCTGCCTTTCTAATTCACGCAGTATCTTCTGGCACTAACTCCAGCATAAGGTTCATCGGGAGCCAGGAGCATTACGGTATCACACAGACAGCCAAGAGAGGGGCAGGCACACCAGCACATGCAGATACCCTTTACATTCTTTGTTTCTTCTCTGCATTCTCTTACAAACACTGTGGCAATACATAAGGTCAGTTATAGCGGGTTTTGAATTTGGTCTTACACACTGAGCACGTTCAACTGCTCTCAGTATGTACATGTTGAAATGGTCTCCTGTACACAGACCTGAATTATAGGTGTGCTGTAATGCCAGTGAAAACCAGAGATGTCATATGCAAAGCCTGGTCCACTCTAGGAGGGAAGAACTTTCAGCAAACACATAAATGTGGAAAAAAACCCACCTCATAGGTGGGTTTGTAGGTGATAGTAAATTTATACCATTGGGAGGTGTTGCTAGACACATGCAACAAGCAATGGCTGAAGTTGACTGCAACAAGAACAAGTACTTAAGGTGTCTGAGCCGTTCTGTTGGAGAGTTGCTGCTACTCAAATCTTACCGCTATCCTCAGATTTACAGTAGAGTAAGAGAAGGCAGGTGGGGAATTACCAAGGGGATGTAATGCCTAAAGTGTGTTTTGTGATTACTTGTAATCTGATCTATTCTTTACCACAGATGCTACCTGATCAGGACTGCGGTCCAAACAGGTGTATGTTAACTTCAATTCAAAAATCTCTTGGCAGTCTTGTTAAAAAGAATGCTCCAAACAAAAAACAATATGAACTCTTCTTTGCTAGTGGTAGCAGTGTGGGTCAGCATGGAATTGCAGACTTTTATAGTGACCTCATTTAGATGAACGCACTTCCAATTAAATTTAAACTTTATGCAACTATAAACTGTCTTTGTTAATTTGCTGCTATATGCTATACAAAATGTAAGTATTTTTACTTTGTTAACTGAAATAGATGGAATTGTTAAACTACATAAAACACCTGTGGCAAGACAGAGAGCAAGCAAAAGGGCTTGCAGGCATGATTCTTCTAAGAGTATTTTACCAAAGAGAAGGACTAGGCCTGATAAACTTGGGCAATACTAAGATTGCAGTTTGTGACCATATTTTACTTGCATCAATTTTAGTATACGTCTGCACTGACCCATGATGCAGTCCTAGTCATAGCAGAGGCTTTCCGTTATCTCCGAAGACAGCGTGTGGATGTCTCCAGGAGAGGTAGTGCTGGAGACTGCCTGGCTAACCCTGCAGTACCATGGAGCCAAGGAATTGACATAGAAAGAGCACTGAAAATGGTAAGGGCAAACACACCAGCTAATGAATGTGTATATTCCACAACAGCAGCAGTTCTCCTGGGACCGAACTGCATCCTTGTCCATGTACTCATGCAAACAGCTGGAGCTCCTCAGGAAAAAGGAAAAAGAAAAAAACATAATGACAAAGGATGGATAAAATATATTCAATAACAAGTTAAGCCTCAAAACTTTGGCCAGAATCACATCCCTCTGGCACCAGTGCAGCATCTGCCTGATTGTCCACACTAGGGCACCTACAGTGTGATTCCCCTGTAACACCCAGGTGTCCCATGAGAGTGAGCACGAGCCATTTTGCAAACAAACATGTATTAAGGGTTTCTTAAAGTCAGGCTGAGCCTGCAAATCTGTCTAACAGAACTAGACTGGGATATGTGTATTTATGGACTTAAAACGTATGTATGCAGTGTTGATAATTAGCCAGTAAAAAGTCAACTCAGATTGGTTTAAAGCAGTGGAAAAACTGTTGTTGGTCGTAGCAATACTGCTGGTTTTCAGCACCAGGCTGAACCTTGACACAGTTTAGCCTCAAACCAGTCCAGTTTTCTGGCATAACTTTGCACTCAGCCTGCTTACCTTCTGCATGACCTATTTTTATCCCTAGCACTAGTTATTGCATGGGATCCTATCTCACTTATGTCTCTGATTTTGTCGATTTTTAACTCTTCTTAGACTGCTGTGTGTGTTAAAGCAAGTGACAACAGGAAAAATTGGGTAACATAAGAGATGAGAATATGTTCTGCTTTTGATCTGGCTCAAATAACTCAAAGAAACCTGTTAAAATAGATTATATTAATGCAGGCATAGAACGATAGTGAGTTACATCAGAATTAAGGCCATGTTAGATACAAACAAATCCTAGGTCAGCCTTCAAACACTTAGCTTAATTACTGCTTTTTCTCAATTACCAAATTGGAAGGATTATATCAGAAGGTTATAATGAGTTATAGAAGGTTATAATCAGATTATATCACTCTTAAGAGTGAGATGGTTCAGTCTCACATTGCCAGAGCTCTTTTTATGCTGTTATGTTACTTCCTAACAAATGCCCCAACTGCACATTCCCTAATGTTAATTAAATACAACCTTCACAATAGTTAAAGAATTTGTGCTGTCCATTTGAATTTAATTACAAGCAAAACATAGAACTCCTCCAAATGAGACAAGAGGTATTCATGTCAACAAAGAAAACCAACACTGCTACAGGACCCTCCCTTCTTTGTGAGGATTTATTTAATTTGTAAGAGATACAGAGCCAAACTCACAATTGACAAAAAGTACAGAAACTTGACTGTCAGCTGGTTGCACTGAATTGTTTTAGCTGCTCGAAGTCATCTAAGTGAGGTTTGTATGCTCCTTCAACAAGTGCTACCTATGATCAATCATCCCACACTGCCTTCCAGACCCCGTCTTGTCCATCACACTCTCCCTGTATTCAGATAATGATCTTGAATCTTTGCTGGAGGAAAAATCTTTAACAGTGTTTCCTCTCCACTCTGTAGCTACGACTCAGATAAGAATATTTTTTCCAAGACATCTTTGAAATATCCTGTGCCAGCAGAAGGTTCAGTTCCACACTCTAGGCATCCCCTTGGCAAAAGGAAAATGGGCATTACCTGAGTCTGCTTCCCTACAGCCTTGAACACTGTGCCTGTCTGTATTTGTAAAGCTGATTCTAAGACATCAGAACAGCAGCAGACCGTTTACCTGAACAGATCCGGGCAGTTATAAATTGTCACTCCATTCGCACTTGCCTCTGCAGGCTCCTACCAGAAGCATTCTGAGTCCTGCTGAGCCTTCCTGCCTCAGTGCAGCCACATTTTGCAAAGTGCTGAGTTTTCCCACCAAAGATAGAAACAAATTATAGTTGAAGTCAAAAGGTGTCAAGTGCACAATGCTCGTGTCTCAGTACACATCAGGGTGAAGCCAGCCTAACAAGCTTTGCTGAGACTGCTGTGCTAAGGTAGCCAGGCAGCTTCCAGCAAGTGCCAAAAGCAGGCACAGCAGCTCACATCTGGCTGCAAATTCATTTGCTCAGTCCACAGTTGATAAGACCTCTTGGTTTTCAAAGTCCCATTCACCTCTACCTTTCTGGAGACAGGAAAAACTCACATGTTCTTCCAGACCCCTGAAATGACATAAACTATTTTAAGGAAGGTTCAAATCCACTTACTGATTTAAAAAAAAAACAAAAAAAATCACGCTTCTGTCAGACTGGATTTGGCTCACTGGATAATTTGGGGTCTAAGGAATTTTGGCTGGTTTTATGTAGCCTTGTCCACCATAACAAGTTGTATTGCACCACCTCTAAACGACAAATAGCAGATCAGTCACCAGTCCTGAAGAGTTTCCTTTGACTAGTCTTCCACTACCTCTTCCTGTAATTTCTACAGGATTTTTTTTTAGGCTGATTTACCCCTACTGAAGTTTCAGACTGTTACCCCTTCTGCCTGAGATGACAGCTTGTCAGTGTTGATAAGTGATAAATGGAAGTATCTCACCCTTTCATACAGGGAACTAAGAAAGATTTTTTTCTTTGAAACAAAGTACTTCATACTTCCCATTAAGATGATTCATGTAAGTAGGTAATGATAATGACTTACTGTCTATACACCCATCCATCCAGATTGAGACCAAAACTCCATAAGCAGTAGAGACAATTGTCTGTGCTCATTCAGAGAAGAAATTCATTCCTTTCTCCTACACTGGGACTGATCTTAAAATAAAGCACTTCCCAGAATGAGCAATGATACAGGATTCTGGTACGTATCACAAATCAGTACCATATTGTGAGGGGTTTAATGGCACTGAATTATTGCGTGTGCCTCACTGATACTCCATGCTGTATCTGTGAACCCAGCGTGAGTAAGCATGGCAGAATCAGTCTTTCTTACATTTAACATATGTGGAGGGCTCATTTCACTTAAATGCAGCTTATTGCGGTCGTGAGTCACCAACTGAGTACTATCAAAGAGTATGTACAGATGAAGCTGAGAAAAGTTAGGTTGTTTCTGTTATGAAGAATGCAACTGACTGTGTTAAAAGCGCTACAAGCCTCTTAGATAAAAATTGTGCTAGAGCCAGTGGGTTCCTGCAAAATGTAATGGAGGGAAAAATAAAGTGAATCTTTTATTAAAATGGGGGGTTTTTTTGTTTATTCCCTTAAGGTGCAAGTTCAAGGAATGACGGGGAACATCCAGTTTGACACCTATGGGCGGAGAACAAATTACACAATTGATGTGTATGAAATGAAAGCTGCTGGATCACGAAAGGTGAGTTTCAAGATATGCATCCAGATTTCACATCTTCACAAATACTTATTCCAGCAAAGTAATGAAACTCAAAAGTGCTGCAGAGGCACTGTAATAACACCTTCTCGCTGTCTTTTCTATCCCAGGAACCTTGTTCTATTCTGTTCCTGGACCAAACCACTCACCCTGGTTAATATCTTCATTGGTTTCCATGTCAACTTCAGACTCCACTTTTTCCCTTAAAACCCTTCTGGAGCTTTTCCAACACCAAGCATAATACCTGCTGTCATGGTCCCATGCTCAGCCCTATCTCCTAAATTGCTTTCTGTCTTTCCCCTCTCCCCACAACAGGCCTCAGAGCTATAGCAAAGCTAGAGCCTGTGGATTTTGGAAACCTTCTGAAATTAACAGAAAATAAGTTTGGTTTTAATTAGAATTTGCTACTCATTCTCTTGTCTCCTAAATGAAGTATAGCTCCTAAGCACAGTTGTTGCCTAGCACCCTGTTATAGAAGAAATTTAGAGCAGATTTTAAAACATAAAACAGGGTCTCAGGAGTATCAAGAGAAGAGCCCATGTGTCCGAGGCATGTAAATCCCACTGATTTCACCTGGTGATAGGTACCTAACTATTGCACACTTAGGTACCACTGAGACTCCTTAGACTCTTCTGCACATATTTGACAAGAAAACACCTCTGGACATGGCTCAGCCATTCAGCTAGGTTTATAGTGCCAACAATGGTGTTACTTCTGTGTTGTGCAGAAGCTAATGTAAGCACATAACGGTGTAGCCACAGCACCATGAAGGTCGGCACAAGCCAGCTGACAAATAGCTCACTAAGGGGTTTGTATCCCATACTGAAGATAACAATGTGCCTGCATTGCTAATGATGTCTGGGCACCCACTCTAATGCTAGCTCAGGCATGTCTGCAGAGACTGTATTCACTGTCCAAACCATGGACAGTGAATACAGGCTATGGATAAAAATTACTAAATCAAAGAATTTTACTCAGAGTGCTGCGCAGTTTAATTTCTTGTCTATAGTGTATTCTTATACTGTAGGTACACAAGAATTTATTCCACAGGAACCATGATAATGTGAATTTAGATAGAGGGAATTTAATACACGTTTTCACTTAGATTTGGCTTGTATTTATTTACATGTAGGCTTGAGAACTGTTTCTTTAATGAAATTAGATTAAAGCTAAAGTAGCCCTTTAATGGCAAGAATGTTGCATAAGTGTTAAAAAGCCCTATGTTTTGACATTTCCTGTTACAAGTTCATGCACCTGAGTCCTTGTAAGCATATATTATGAGGTAACAATCTCCGTTTTTATAGGTTGGTTATTGGAATGAATATGAAAGATTTGTGCCAGCATTAGATCAGCTGCCCTCTAATGACACTTCATCTGTGGAGAACAGAACTATAGTAGTCACTACCATCTTGGTAAGTTTTATGTTCTCAGTGTGTTTGTGTTTGGGAAACAAGACACATGGCTCCTGAGGTGTGTTAGACACCTTGCCAGGAGGCAGATGTTAAGTACTATGTGACTTCAAGTGTCTGAAAAGTTCAGCATCTTCCAGAGATGTAGTGAGGGCTTGACCCTGCAAACTTCTCTGTGTATCAATAAGCTTATTCACACAAGGAGCTCACTGAGATCAAGATTGTGCTTTGCTGCTTCTCAGACACTTGAACTCAATCAGATGTCTCACAAAAGTTATTATGCATGTATGTAAATCACTGCAGGATTTGGCCTTCCTGCTCTAGGGTCAAATCTTGCACCCCTCACTCAGGTACAGCTCCTGTAAACTCAACCCCTGTGGACTGAGTAAGGGTGGCAACAATGAAGCCTGTAGAGAACTGGAACTGCTCTAGCACTGGGTGAAAAGCGACCTATACCTGTGCAATTCCAGAGGAGTAAAGCTCTTCCTGTGTCTCACAAACAGCAGCATGTGTGTCAGTCCCAATGCCTCTAGCAGATGTGTTCTGTACAGTATTGTTTGTGACTTTTATGGCTGTTACAATTCTACTGAGCATGAACCAATTTTATGCTACTTCCTGAAGCACTGTATTTGATATTTCTATGGATTTAGTGAGATATAATCAGCATTTCAGCTAGAATTTTCCAAGAAGGCTAAGGGAATTTAGCTGCAAAAATTGCTGCTTCCTAGCTTCCCTTAGGCTGCTTTGAAAATATCTCCATTGGAGCCCCATTCTAGGCCACTGGGGCCTTAGGAAATGATTTTGATGGTACAGGTGTTGGACCTGTCGGTTCTTTAAAACCTGAGTTATTACTACAGTGATTCTGTTGACTGTCTAATCAGGCCTAATCCTGCGAACAAAAGTGTGACTTTGTTAAACTAGAATAGTCCTGTTGTCTTCAGTGGATCCATATTGGGAACTAAATCAATGGTATTTGTGGCTGTAGGATCAGCCAAGAATTTTTAAACTGCGGAAGCCTGTCTTTCTAATTTCTGTACCAAAGCAGGAAATATTGTAAATACTTGACAGTAATATAAAGGATAATAACAGCTCTCATTTTGTATGTTTTAAAGCTGTATTTTACATTCATAGACTTTTGATCTTTACTTTTGTTTCAAAGGAATCACCATATGTAATGTATAAGAAAAACCATGAACAACTAGAAGGGAATGAGAGATATGAAGGATATTGTGTAGACTTAGCTTCTGAAATAGCAAAACATGTTGGAATAAAATACAAACTGTCAATTGTTGGAGATGGGAAATATGGAGCTAGGGACCCTGAGACTAAGATATGGAATGGCATGGTGGGTGAACTGGTCTATGGGGTAAGTTTCTCTTAACCTTCATTTTAATGTTCTTTATAAAAAGTTATGCTCAAAGTTAATAAACTGCAAAATAAAGATGATCTGTTTGAATACCACCTTTAAAATTCTAGATATTTCTTTGTAGTGCTATTGTTGTAGTCTACTTTTCTAATCATTTCGTTGCAGGAAAGTGTCACTTTTTTACTGCTGTTCTCCAAATTAGAGTCCACAAAATGTTAAGAAATGGTACTAGGCAAATTTCAAACTCTTGTCTCCAGCAGAATTTCCATTTGCCCTTCATATATTGCTTTTGCATTTGCCTTGTCTCCTTCTCTCCATCAGTCTTGGAAGTGCTGGTAGGGTGCCCCTCTCAATAACGGTCTGATCCTATGATGCTGGCCCTTGTTGGATGACTGATGTCAGATTGTGTTTGACCAGAGACTAAGGACTCAGTTAGCCCCATGGTTGGGTAAGAAGCAGTGCAGGTGTGAAATTAACCTCATCCTTTTTCTTTTTAAACCCTGGCTTTAAAAACCAACTGTCAGACAAAAACAAAACAAAACAAACCCCTCTAATTCATTGCATTCCTCTGTATATTTCTATCCTGGGCGTACATTGCTTTGTTTAGTAAGAACAAAAACAGTCCGGAATTGCCATTTTAGAAACTTCTTTGAAAATGAGAATTTTGGAATACAGATAAACCAGATGGAAGGAGGAGAAAATTGGCTTTGCAGAAAAGACTTTACAAGCTGATATTTTATCTTTTTTTTCCCCCCAAATGGTGATGAGATGATTTGTGATTCCGCCCAAATCTTCTTTACAGTTTATTTTTAACAAGCTCTGCTTTATTAAAAATATCTGAGCAGGAGTGAATATTTCAGTTGCCTCCTTTTGTTCCATAGCTGAGAGTAATTTCTAAAAGTCACCTCAAAATTTCCTTGGGATAACATATAATGGTTCTTGCAAAATGTTTGGTGAGATAATTCTTTCCAAATGTATCAGGCTTTTTAAAGGAATTGCTGGATTTGCAAAAGTTTTCTTTTTCTGGAGCAGTGAGAATAAGATGATGTCTTACTCTGATAAGTCCTGATGCCTTATTATATACTCGGTAGCCTATTTGACTACAAAATATTTTATATAAGCAACAGTGTTTTTGTAGTGTTGCATTAAGGGGAGGGTGATAGAGAAAGTGAACAGGGGTTCTGGACCCCTGGGTTATATCTTCGCTTCCCTGTTGCACTGTTTGATCTTATGCAAATCATCTGAACTCTCATGCCTCAATTAGGTGATTTGGGAAACTAGTTTTACCTGTTTTAAAGAATACAAGTGCATTGATAACCTCAGAAGAAAAAGTTTAGTTCCAAGCAAATTACACTGTAGCACAAACCTAAACCCTCAGTTTACCTGTATGTGGTTCAAGAAATACCAAGAGTATTGGATGTAATTGAGTCATTTTGATATATTTGCAAGTCACAAGCCATGAAAGAGTTTATTCACTTAAAAAGTAATCAAAATATATGCAAAAGGCATAACAAAAGAGAACCTGAAATTACTGCTAACAGCCAGGGCACAGGGACCATCTACACCAAATAGGAAAGGTGTGGTACAGGCCACTGCCTCTGGGACTTGAGCCAAGTAAGATTAGCCTGTGCAGGTGCTGTACAATGCAAGATCCATCTGGATAACAGGCAACAAAAATGATCAGAGGGCTGGAACACTTCTCCAGTGAGGAAGGGTTGAGAGACTTGGGACCCGTTCAGCCTTGGAGAAGGCTCTGGGGAGAACTTAGAGCAGCCTTCCAGTACTCAAAAGGGACCCATAACAGAGATGGAGACAGACTGTTTATCAGGGCCCGTTGGAATGGGACGAGGCATAATGGTTTTAAACTAAGAGAGGGTAGATTTAGACTAGATTTAGGGAAGAAATGTTTTACATTGAGGGTGGTGAAACACTGGAACGGGTTGCCCAGAGAGTTGGTAGATGCCTCATCCTTGGAAGTATTCAGGGTCTGGTTAGATGTGGCTTTGAGCAACCTGGTCTGGGTGAAGATGTCCTTGGGCATTGCCAGGGGGGTTGTACTTGATGACCTTTAAAAGTCCCTTCCAGATCAGCCCACTCTCTGATTCTATGATAAACAGGTTGGTTGCAGCTGCCTTTTCCACAGCTACTTGGAAGGAGCCTTGCTCAGAGAGAGCTCTGCCTCCTTGGCATTGAACAGCCCTAGCCACTTTCCCTTGACTCAGCCATTGCTGGTTGACCTTTCTCCAGCAGCAAAAACCAGCTTCACAGGCACCATAGAGCATACCTTAAAAGAACCCCAAACCCACCCCACCACTGTCATTTTCTCCTGCAAAAAATGTCTGTTCCTTTGTATTCCGAAGCTCAGTTTTCATCTGTGTTTTCTCATTAATGAAAAACAGAGGAATGTTTCCCTCCCTGACCCCCAACAGCTCCTCTTCTCATGCTGTGAGCTCAGTTACTGAAGCTCTTCACTGCAGTGCTTAATTATTCAAAGGTCAGATGCATCCCTTGAGGTTTGACTGTAGACCCAGGCTAATGCTTACAGCCCAGCACTGCTGAGCTAGCTCCCCATCCTGCAGACCCAAACTTCTGAGCAGGCAAGCTGCACAGAAATCCACCTGGCTTTCTGTAGGCAGAGAAAGCAGCCCCTGAACTCTTAAGTACAAACCTCACCAGCCCTCCAGATTCTTTCCCAGCCCTGTTCACAAACACCATCAAATACCCTTGGCCTCTTTCTCCATCTGTTGAGAGGGGGCTGTGTACCACACTCACAAGGATGTGCACAAAGCCCTTTGAAGATGCAAAGTGCTCTAGAAGTGCTAATTATTTGGAGCAAGTGCCTCATTTACGTTTTAACTTGCCTTTCTCTCTCAGGGGCTTAAGACTCTATTAGGGAGCTAAAACTGTACGTTACCCCTAATGCCCCTGTGAGCCTTGTCTGAAAAATGACTGTCATACTTGGCTTCTCTGGATTCCATTTTGGGAAGACAATAGGGAGATTAGATTTTAAATGCCTTTATTAGCATGTATGGAAGACAGGCATGGGGGGGATAAAAGGGGCCCTGATTGGTTTTGGTACCAGTTATCCAGCAGCTGAACTGAGCTGTGGCAGATGATAACACAATCTTTTAGATTGCATTTGTCTCAAGTGATAAACAGAGGCAAATACAGCATTCTCCTGACCCAACAACCTTCTCAGCTGGCCCTCTTGGACCATTCCTTGTGGCTTTGCAACGGGCTGTACGTATGAACCTGGTTACAGAGAAAGGCAGCATAGTGATGGCAGCCCTGGAGGCAAGAAGTTCTGGCTGAGCTGATGCTCCCAAACTCCTGTGCTTCAGACAGGAGAACCCATGAGCTAATGGGGCCTTGTGGTTTGTTAGCAATTTTCAAATGTTGTTGCTAGTAGTAATAGGAGTAGCAATGATAAATGGTAATAAAATTTGGCATAAAATGAAATTTACTTGATTTTTTGTAAATAAGAGTCAGGTCAGGTTGAAGAAAATGTTAATTTTGCTCTTTCGCTCTGATGGTGTCAAAATAAGATTCTTATTCCTACCAGAAAAAGCCCTACCAATTCAAGTGCTATTATCTTTCAAACTAAGAGAAATTTCTAAAATATAGTGGAAACTTTCGACAGAATAAAAATAGCAACTAGGTAAAAGCATTTTTTCATGGACACTTTAGATGAGGGAAGTAGCTAAATCATTCTCAGGCTGGAATGCTGAATGACTGTTTAAATCTAAGCAGCAAAGCAAGTGCTGTCCTCCAGTGATCCATCCACCAAGGACGTGCCCTGTGTGGGGCTTGAGGAGCAGCAGCACCTCCCAGTGCACAGGGCTTTGTACCCACCAGCTGGTGAGCACTAGACAGTCATCTTTTCTCTTCTGTAGGGTAAGCCTCTGTCTGTAGGCTTTTATTTCTTCTTTCCCTTTTGAAGCAGGCTGCTGTTCTTCCTTCACTGTGCAGCCAGGGAAAGCCTTCGCTCTCTGGGCCTGATGTTTTTCACAGTGCTGAGGCTAATTGACAGTAGGTTCAACACAGACCTTAATTGTAACTACAAATGCTTTGGGACTGGAAAGAGCAGCCAGACCTTACAGCCTTTAAAACTCTCCTTGGGTAAAAAAAGGTCTTTATAAAAACCTTTCAATATGTAAAGTAGCTTAAAGGAATGAAGCAGGGATGTAAAGAACAGACAGTCCCCTGAACACAGGCAGCCTCCACAGTCTGTCAGAGTGGGACCACCTACACATCTCCTTGCCTTTAACAGCTAACCAGCCTCGCCTGGCCTCTCTGGCTCTCCCAGCAGCAGAAGAAAGACTACAGATGGCATATACAGCCTTTGAATCGTAGTAGAGTGGAAGACTAATTCAATTCCTAATTCTCCTCAAAATGTCCCATGTGCTCTTAGTCTGTGGCAGAGCCTGACTGTGCCATGAGCAAGAAAAGCTTGCCCTTCACCCCGCATCTCTGGTTTCCATAGGAGGGAAGCCCAGGGACAAGTGCCCAAGGGCATCTGATGTCCTGCAGGTCATGCAGCTCTGTGCAGACAGACGTGGGGTCCCTGCCCAGGCAGCCACTGAGCCATAGTGGACCACAGCCCTGCCACAGCCCCACATATAGAGCCACACTGACATAGGCCCAGACTCTATCTCCACATGTATGTCCACAGCCCAAAAAGCAGATGTGCCCTTAATTTCTCCATCAGCATACAGTAGTGGTGTTTCAGGAGGAGCTGTGGGCATCCACATAAAGCAACATTGACAAACTACAGCAGACAAGGCCAACTGCAGTTTAGCACCTTCATACCTTTCTACACTGCCCAGCGAGTACACATTCGGACTTCAATGCAGCATGTTTGGGTACCAGCTGTTGTTTTCACACAAGTGTGAGCTAATGTGTTAAAAACACATTACCCCCATGACCTGGACTCTCAACACATCCTTGAGCATACAGGACTCTCTTTACAGGGTGGCATTCACCAGTAGATACCACAGGTGATGTGTTGCTCCTGACACTCTTCTGATACTTGGAAACCTCAGACTGGACTGAGAGGGCCTAAAATGTGCTCAGAGTCAGTCGTCATTCCAGCATAGTCTCTTCTCTGTATCTGCATTCAACACTTCTGGGGTGCTTGGCTCCTGATGGAAATCAGGCAGTGTCCCTCTGCTTCAGTCTGCACATACCTAGAGTGCGGGCTGGCTTCCTGACACACAAAGGCTTTGTAAAGTGACCGTAGCCCATACCCACTGCTTGGAAAACAGCACAGTAGCAAAGAAATTGTTCAGTTCTGCAAGCGTGAATGACCTGCATGTACAGGCAGGACCATAGCTGATATCTCTTACTGTCTCTAGTGAATGGCTTTAAAGTTAGGAAGACTCATCTTTAGGTCTGTAAGCAGAAGAATTTGATTTCTCCTTTTGGATTACAGAGGT